GGGACTTAGTTCCTTATTGGTTGGCTTTAGCGTACTCCTTGGAGACTAGGATGGAAGGCTAGTTGGTACACACAGTCCCTAGACAGATGCCCAGTGTCTACATGTCTTCCATTTAGTGTGGACTTGCAGGATTGGTAAGGGATGCTGCTTGGTGGTCTGACTACTTAACCTAGATAAATCAAAGCAGTCTATAGTTTCCATTCGTCGTACGAAAGAGCAGATAAAAACTACAGCCCCAATATTGTGCGCATCTTACTGTCCTCCCTCTCTCGTCATCTCGTTCTATGCTAACAGCAGAGCGTCCTCACCTCTGGGGGGTGAGGACAGCGAGGTCTCGATGTCAGGAGAGCGGGAGTAGAATATCCTCATATGCTCTACATGTAGCGGGAATGGTTTCTCTCTGGCTTTTGAAACCCAAGGTCTCAGAAGAAGGGATGGCAGCATAATAATGAGGAGTTTAGACTATCACTCTCTTCCTTTACATCCCATTCATCTGTCTGGAGGTCACAACTTTGCTTTGGATAGTGGGCATTCCTCTTAGAGACTTGGACATCATTGACTAGTATTTCTAATGTCTAGTATCCTCATAACTTTTTCTTCTTCTGTATATTCATGACAATTTTAATGGGAAACACTACTTATTAACCAGTGTCTATTTTATCGTTGTCCCAAACAGCTACAAGAAGGTGCCCCCGAGTCTCTTCCCCTTCCTTCTAAGACCATCATTTCCAGCCCAGCAGAGTCAGTGTGATAGAAAAACCCTCATTTCCCCATTTTGCCTTGGCTCCCTGTGCTGGCTCCCCGGATGTTGGTGGGACCAGAGCTCTGGCAAGGACACACTGGTTGCTGGTCGGGTTTCTTTTCTCTGCCGTGTTGCCAGTGCTGGTGGTGCCAGGGAAGGACTCCAGCCCTGACTTCTTCGAACCGGTCACATTCCGAAAAGTACCCAGAAAGTTTGGCCTTGGGAAGACCTGCTTTCTAATTCCTAGTCTACTTGTTCCTAGTGGCATGACCTTGAACAAAGGACCCAAACCAAATGATGGTATTTCTTCACCTGTGGAAGAAAAATGTCCACATGTTTTGGTCAATATGAGGCTTAGAGAAACTGAAAGTCTTATGCGTGGAAATGTGTGCTCAGTAAATATTGATGATGCTACTATAATCGTCTTCATCCAAATAATTAATGTAATAACGTCATAGTCTTGGTGGTGTGGTTCACAGAGAGTGAAGGAAGAGTGACGGGGGCTGGGTGGAATCATTCATGCTCCCAACCTGCATTTATGAGGCCTGCAGTTCGTTTTCTGCGTGACTTTGGGAGAGTCTCTTTCCTTTTCCCTGCTTCTATTTCCCATTTATAAAATACGAGCTTGGACCTGTGTGAGGGTTTTAAGTAGGTTTCATCTCATATGTCAGCTTTAGTTGACCAGTTGTGGGTACACCCTCTAAAAGAGTTTTAAAAGCATTCTGAGGCCTTGGCTGGGCTCAGGAGGTAAGTTTGGTACCATCTATGTCTGAAATGGGTAGGGAGGTTAGGCAGTTTCTGGAAATACGCCAGGCGCAGGTAGACTAAATGCTCTCCAAGGACCTTTTCAATCCCCAGTTCTCTGGGTCTTTTTCTGGGTCTTCTTGATGGGCGTTTGTAATTGGGTGACATCCTGTTCACCCAAATGAATATTCAGCGTCATCAGAGAGAAGAGTGGGTATGGCCACGCCTGTCAAGAAGCTGGTGGATTATGGAGCTGCTTCTCTGAATGGGATGGGGGTTTCTTTGAGGCCTCATTGCCATTTGAGCCTCAAAAAAATAAAGCGTTTCATCAGAAGGGAAAACAGGACGGTGCCCTGAAGTTACACATGTAACTCACAACCCAATCATGCCGTGTGGGATTGGAATACCACTTGCTGGTGGGGTTTCCGTCTAACAGTATTTAGTAGTGGACACACTGGTGGATTTGACCAAACTGGGAACATTCATTTCCTGATCTGCAACAGAAAGTTATAGCTTTCTCACACTTGTATACTTATATTAATGTATACTATAGATAGGTTCTCTCAGCTATTGATGTGGCCACTTCCTTTGATATCTAGGATCTAAGACAAGAGTGTCTTATTTGGGGGGTAACTCGGTTAACTCGAGTAATGAGATTTGATTTTCGTGGATCTTTAGGAGGGAACATTGTGAATCACTTTTCAGCCTTCCGTTCTGTAAGGAAAAATAAAACATCCCGTTGTGCATGGGCACTTTATCCTCATAAGCAGAAGATTCTTTCTGCAGGGACAGGGATATCCGCCTTAATTCTGAAAGCTTTCCAGGGACAGATTTGACACGAGGTCCTCCTTCTCCAGTCCCCGTGGCAGGGTGCGCTCCTCCTCTCCCTTCTCGGCCTCGGTTCAGACAGCTGTGAGCATCACTGGTCTGCTCCTGTGGATCTGTGATTTCTGGCAAAGCAAAACCACCAGTCTATGGTCATCCCGATCCACTCAATGGTGAAAAAAATCACATTGGAGATGGTTTTCTCAGAAACAATCACCACGAGACATGATTTTTGTTCACAGTGTACCCTCAGCAAGACTTGATGGAAGGCCATTTTTAGAGGGGGAATCTCTGAATAGGACAAGACAGCAGCAATAAACAGCTGAAAGTAATCTGTGAGGCGTTTGCAAATTACCCCTCATGAGCTGTCGTGGTTGTGAAAGATAATTTGTGGTTCTCACAGAATACCCGGCAAATTGGGTCTTTCATCTGCAATGTTTTTTACGGTGAAAACGTTTCATTTCTCATATTAACAAATGATAACTCTGCATTTGTTAACCTAAACAATTTGATTTATATTTTTCTGTGCTGAGGAGCTGTTGACATTTCAGGGTAAGTAATTATTTTCATTGCCAACTGCTGTTTGTGGTGATGGTCGGCAAGAGAGAACTCTGAGTATACGTGTGCACCATTTTAATCACTCTCCTTAAAGATTGCTCCTAAAGCAGGAACCCGTGTGCCGGAGTTACCCTCTGTCCTTAGAAACCGAACAGGACATGGGTGTTGACGAATGAGGGCTCTGGTCACATTTGGGGTTTTCTGTGGGGCACTGGATGCTCCCTGTGGGCAGGGACATGTGATCCCTGTGGGCAGGGGACAGGGCTGGCTGCCATGTCACCCCTCTGGCAGAGCCCTGGGCGCTGGCAGTCTAAAGTCACAGCAGTGAGAGGAAGTGGATGATGGGTCTCAGTAGTGCCCAGCTTGTGTCATATCTGTTCAAGCATCTCCCAGGGTGGTTGCCAGAACTACGTGACAAGTGTCACGGGCACGCCTCTCACTATGCCCGGGACATAGCGGGAGCTCCGGAAACATTTGGGGAAACGGGGCCTACAGGAAAAGGACCTTCTAAATTTCCTTTCTCATGTTGCTTTCTTGGCCAAGGACTTACAGTCCAGGGCAAGAGAAAGAAAAAATGTTGTCAGCCCATCCTCAGGCCGGAGGCTTAGCCTGGCCCACTGACCCGGGGCACGAGGCAGAGCGGAGAGAAGGCACCAGGACTGGGACGGAACAGCAGCTTTCTCTGGGCCTCTTGACCTTAAACTTCATGCTAATTTTTCAATCTACTCTTTAACATATCCAGGCTTATTTTGTATTCAGGAAAATTAACATCAAAGTTTGTACTTTTCCCCCCAGAAAAAATCATTTAGCCAAATTGCCGCTCCAAAAACATGGTCCATCATTAGCTTGTGGGTGTGCATGGGGCCTACAGTCGTTGGGAAGCGCTGTGGGCAGGGGTGGGCCTCTGAGATGATTGGGGGCATGCTGGCGTGTCCTGCAGGGTAGGCTGTGGTACGTTCATCATCCGTTCTCCTCCGCCCCTCCCTGCTGGGCAAAGCTCCGGCCACATCAGACAGAGACAATACCCCTGTGTGTGCCGACCCCCATTCACATTTCAGATCAGCAAATGGACTGCTGATTTAGGACTCAAACCAAATCTTACATGGCCTGAAGGGGTGGATGTAGAGCCAGTACCCTGAATGGCAAATGTATTTTATCCTTTGAACCAACTTCAATTGATTCGTTCTGGTTACCTATAATGCTGTCCGAGGAAGGCATCTGTGGCGCATGGAGGCTCAGCCGGGAAGAGTGCTGGGATTGATTAGCAATGTCTGCCAAGGCTCTGGAGGGGCAGCTTGCTCTCTACTTGCTATTGTCTGCTTTTGACATGTCCTTAGCTCTTCTGTGTAAAGTGATTTCAATTCTAACTGGTGACTAAGTATGAGCTGGGGCATCATGAGAGAGAGCAGGTAGATTGCACTTTAAGAAAACCCGGCATGAGAAAATGCAAATTTACAAAATGCATAAATCTGGAGCTAATTATTGCCATTACAGAAAGATTCCATGAAAGGTTCCTTTAAATAGTGAGCTCCCCTACTGCATGACAATGATGATTCAATTTACAAAAATTCACTTTGCATGCAACTCTGCAGGACCCTGTCCGTGGAGTAAAGCAAGCCACACCTGATTTTTTTCATCCGCAGCCTAAATACCGTTCAGAATGGCTGCGGCCACATATCTCGCGTCTCTGGACAATTCCCACTCTCTTCAGACTTCCTTCCTACTTCCGCTCCCAGAGTGTTGAGTAGACAATCTGGGTGGTGGTCCCCAGCTGCTGGCTTCCTCCCCGCAGCGGCTGCATTTCATTAGTGGGTGAACTGATTGCTCCGTGTGTGTTTACGTGTGGGTGTGGCTGACCAAGTTTGTGCACTCGTGTGCCATGGTGGAGATGCAAATGCACACCAGCCATTGCTCACCCTCAGCCCACCCCAAATTCATTCCTGCTGTGAGTTACACAGAGAAGGTTCTCATTGCCTGGTAGATACAGCCTTTCAGTAATCTGTGCCCCAAATTCCAGCTCCCCGTCTTCTTTGTGTTTGTTTATATGTTATTTACCCTTGCATCAAAAAACTTCCCCGGACCCTGGGCCTGAGTCCCATTATCCAGACATGAAACCCTCTTCTTCCTCTGAGCCTAGAAAAGCCCCAAATGGTTTTCTGATTTAGAAAATTAAATTTAATCTGACTCTTGTGGCATACTACGAAATTCCCAACCAACAGACACTCCCATTAAATATGTAACATACACAACATCTAAAAGTATCACCAATCTAGCATGAACTTGAATTATAGAGGCATTCGGTGCCCCTTGGGTAAGATCGCCAGCTTCTTCCCAGGCACTCACCACTGGGCAGCCTTCCAGGCTCAGAAAGCTCCCAGGAATGCTGACTGGCACACGTGTTTGAATGTCTGGAAGAGCAGCTTATGCAGGAAAGAGAACCTTAACGAGATGGCGTCTCCCCTTCTCTGTGCGTGGCCTTCTCCCACATAGAATCATCCGAATAACTTCTCGGGCACAGAACGCAAGTATCATCTCTATTTCATCTACAGTATTTTTTAAATCGCAACAGAAACGTCTTCCCAGGAATATTTTTTTACGGACGCACCCTTTTTCACCCTTTTCTTTTGGAAAAAGCAAAGTGAGGCAGTAACAGTGAACAGACACAACAGCCCTCCTCAGACACGGTCTCTGACCAGAAGTGATTATTCCTATTCGAGGTGAAGGCCCTCAAGCTGGCGAGCTGTCCAATAGCTCTTTTCCTTCTGTCTTCTTGGGCTCGGTGGTCTGAGCCAAGGGTGCCCCATGGTATCGGGCTGTGATGGCTGCATAGGTGCAGCCATAGATGGTGGCCACCAACATCAGGAGACACAGGATCCCACATGCAACCCCGCCGATGATGACAGTGACCAAGGCGTGACGCAGATTGGCCGGCCTGGGCTTGGGTTTGAGCTCACACTCCGAGTGTTCTTGCTCCCCTGCACTGTGGCTCTCAGGAGACCTCGGGACAGCCCAGGGGGCAGAGCCCAGCGGCACCTGGGAGGACTCCAGGTCTGGAGAGGGAGAAGGGCAGGGCTGGTACAGCTCATGAGGGATTTTAAGGAGGTCCTTTCCCTTCCAAGTGTCCGGTGACACACAGATGACACTGTCCATTACTCCCCCTTTAGAAAAACAAAAGCAAAGGATGACAACAGAGCCTGATACAACTGAATTTCCAAAGCCTCAGCCTGCAAAAAGTTAGGCAGATGGAATTTATAAGGCACCTTATTTTTTCCTGAAGTTAAAAAACTTAACAACTACATTTTATGATTTTAGGATTTCTAAATTGGCCAAATGCTAAAAATGCCACACACTAAATTGGCAATTATGTATGACCAAGAATTCATTAGAAGCCAGGTCACCTTTACCTTATAAATGCCGAGGGCAAAGCGATGCGAAGCTGACAAGAGGGGGCATTGGAGGCCAACCCGGGGGCACTCACGCCCCTAATGAATCCCTACACACAAAAACCTATTGTACTGAGTACCCATTGGAAATCTGCACAAAAAACAATAAAAATAAAACAAACGTCCTTTGTTGTGATGTTATGTGTTAATTACAAAGACCCTATGGGTCTGGCAATACCCTTCGATGATGCCAAAGGGGAGGTCGTGGTCTTTGAGTGTGTTGTGTATCTGAAGATTTGGCAGTAATATTAGTTAAGTCCATGGGATTAAGTGCAATTACTGTGTCTCCTCAGGCTTTGACACATTTAGCACTGGGAGTAAAGAACTTTCCAATGGGTTATGAGAGCTCGTTTCTGTCCTCTGTGGGGCGACTGATTTCCTGGGGTGTGTAGACTACATGGAGGCTCTGGGTGCCTAGTGATGCTTTTCTAGAAAGAGCACTGGGCTAACATTCCATTCTGGCCACGCCTGACCACCAGTGTACTCTGTGACCTCAGGCAAGTAGACTCCTCTGACTACGCTTTTTGCCATAAAATCATCTATTTGGACCCAACTTGATAGTTTATGAAGCCCTGTTAGATTAGTCCTCACAACTTCATTATAATGGTCATTCTTGTCCAAGGTCGCCCAGGTCATGAGTGGACAGAACACCCAACCCAATTCACTCCCTTGATCCCAGAGTTTTCCACTATGCTCAGTGCCTGTTTCTCCTTCCTCCTCTCTAGTTCTTCATTCTGGAGTGTCCCAAGGTCAGTGGAGTTCACACAATGACCTTCTGTAAAGACCTTTGCCTGGCAGAACCCCACCCCCGTGGCTGCGGCTCAGTGTGCCCTGCCTGCCATGCACTCCTCCCTGGGATGGCTGTGCTAACGGGGCTAACCTCTCTCAGCCCAGTTAGACCGGAGAGTCTTTGTACACACCGTAGGTGAACTACGCAACCACACCGGCAAGTCACACGCGGAAGGCCATCACTCCCGGGCGAGCAGAACCTTCCGTTGTGTAGCTCTAACTCTGAAACTGCTAGAGTCTCTTGGGCCCTCCTGCCTTCTTCAGTGACCCCCTGGGGCAAGAGCCCCAACTCTCAAGCAAAAAGGTGCAGAGGAATTTCCTCCTTTCCTGAGCTGACGTGCAGGAGGCGAGGGGTGCAGGGTGGCTGCTCCAGGCTGCCACCGGCCTGAGCCGTGAGGATCCCTGCCTCGTGGCCACGTGATGCTGTGCCCTGGGGTTTGCCGTAAGGCAGAAGGCCAGAGAGCTAGGAATGGAATGTGGGGCTTTGAGAAGAAGTCATGATACTCCACCTGGCCAAAGAGCACTGGGATTTCCACCAGGGTGGCTACCCAGGGGCTCCAGGCTTCACCACTGTCTTTCTCCGGTTCCAAGCTTCCTGCCGGTCAGTATTAGAAGGTAAAGCATGGCCTTGGGTCCCAGCAGAAGGGGAACACACAGACGAGAGCCTGGGACATGGCTGGCAGGCAGGGGTTGTGGCCTCCTGTGCAGCTGTGTCCTTAACCAGGATTCACCTCCCAGCCTTCTGCCCCAGGAGGCAAGTCAGCTGCTGACAGCTTGAGGGCCCCACACCCTTCTAGACATACGGGAACTGACAACGCAAGAGGTTCCCGCTCGCCAGGCCTCGGCTCTCCCCACTGGTCCTTCCTCACAGTGGTCTTGGAAGACATTAGATTTACATCTTGAGCCTGACCATTCCCTGTCTATGCAATCCTAAGCAAATCACTTGACCATTCTGTGCTGCTGCTTGCTCATCTGAAAAGTGAGAGGGGGACTAGTGAAATTCACCCATGAGATTACTCCGAGGACTCCGCTGGAGGGAGTATATCAAGTATTTAGCACAATACCCAGTCCAGAATAAACATTTAGTACAGTTAGCTATTCGCATAAAGATGATTTGTTACTTATGAGTGGAGAGGAATACTAATTACAAAATCTATACACATGTTTTTATGGAGGAGACATTATTAAGTACTCATCAAAGCATGTGTTTTGGCTCTTGGGCCCACAGGAAGATGATGACATCTCCCCACCCTCTGTGGTCAGGTTGGGGCCACGTGACTGAGCTCTGGCCACCGGAACGAGTCAATGTCACTTCTAGGCCACAAAATCCCCTGCTTAACCCTCTAAGCACTGTGTTCCCATTTGGTGTTAATCTTAGCAGCCACGTGGTCAAGTTGGCAAGGTCAAAAGCTGGAAGGGGCTTCAGTCTCGAATGACTGTGTAGACCCCAGTGCTCCCCCAACCCCTTTGGACTCTGACATGAGTGCCTGTCACTGTGTACATCCCTGAGATGGTTGCCATAGCCCGTCCTGACTAATACCATTAGTGTTTGTATTTATTGATGTATCTTTTTGTAAATGAGGTCCTGACCAAGACCTAGTCCCCTTTTCACCCTTATGCAATATATCAGTAGTGAATTGTTGCCTACATTTAGCATCTGTTTGGGGTTTTTGCCTAGTTATTTTGGGCCACCCAGATCTTGTGATCCCAAATCAATGTTACCTTCTACAGAAAGGCTGTGGACTGTGCTGGGTGGCCTTGACCTGAGTCATGGACTCTGAGGATGAGAACAGGTCTCAGGAACTCCTTGGCTGTATATTGTCAGCTTCCACCTGGTGACTCTGGTGACCCTGAGGGCTGGTGAGTGGCACAACTGCTCAAAGATCACAGTGAGTTCATGGCAGAGTGCAGGGAGCGTCACTCCACCCCATGCTCCTTCCAGTGTCCTGAACCTAGGAACTGTTTTCTTTTTTTAAATCAAGGAATGGTCTTCTCTGATGAGACCTGTCTTCGTATGATGAGTTGGCTTATGCTCACCACTTAGTCTCAAACACAATAGCTAAAGCCACTTCACCTCTGGATGTAACGTTTTATTTACAACCTCTTATAAGAAAGATGTTTGCCACAATATGTAGCCCCTGTGTGTAGCTCAACTTGAAGACTAGCTGCTTAGTGATACTCTGTTTGCTTTTATATTGTTGAGAGGGATTCTCAACTCAAGATTGACTTGACTCTACTAACCTGCTTCCTTCTGTGTAACTGCTGCAGCCTTCCAGACTGCTGATTCCCTAGATCCGTGTCTGTAGCTCTGCTATCTTCCTGAATTACAGGCTCAAATATACATCCACCGACTCAACAGCTTCCCTTGGTATGAAATGGGTGTCTCAAACTTGACCTTTCCCCAACCGACGTCTTACTTACCGCCTCTCGCACACACTCACCCACTTCCCCTTTCTCCAGTCCCCAGTCTGCCCCTTATCAGCTATTGGCATCATTTATTTGCTTACTCCTGCAGGACAAACATCTGAATTTTCCGTCATGACTCTTTTTTCTTCCTCTTCCAGTCCAACCCATCAGGAGTGTCTATCAGCTCAGTATTCCAAAGATCTCCCGACATTGATTACTTCTCACCACCCTGGTTGGGGCCACCTCATCTCGTCCCTGGATGACTGAAATTGCTTTCTCCCTCATTCCCTGCTTCTTCTTAGGCAGCCTGTGGTCAGCTCTCCCAACAGTCAACAGAGTGACCTTTTAAAATGTAATCAGATCACATTGTTCCTCTAATTAAAATTCAGGAGATTTTTATCTCACCTAAAATAAAATCCAACATCTCAGCCTGCTCTGCAGGTTCCTACGTGACCGGCCCTGACTACTTGGGTTACCTGATCGCCATCGTCTCTCACTCCCGTCCCCAGCTCCGGACATGCTCTTGTCCTTACTCCAGCCCAGCTCACGCCCCTGTCAGGCCGTCGGCACTGCGTCCTTCCCCCCAGGGATCTCATGGCCCATTCCTCCTGCTCAGGTTCTGATCACCAACGTCCCCTCCCTGGAGAGGACTTCACTGCCCTTTCGTTCTAAAATGGAACCCCAGCCCGTCCCTCCCTGTCCCCTCCCCTGCTGCACCATTTCCCTAGCACTGGCTGTCTTCAGAACAGGGGCATTTATTATCATATTCACCATATGTTTCTACTGTCAGAATGTAAGCTCCGTGGTGACAGGGATTTTCTGGTTCAATGACCTTTTCTCAGTGCCTAGAACAGTGGCTGGCACATAAGGGGCACTCAAACGTAGGGGTGGACAAATGAACCCCTGGGGTGCAGAGAAAGGGGCTAGAGCCAACACTCAGAAACATTCATTCCGTTCTCTTCCGAGCTTCCACTCGTCATCGTGGGCGAGTGGCTGGACCTCTCTGTGCCTCCGTTTCACGATGATAAAAAGCTGGTGTTCAGCCCTGGCTGGTTTGGCTCAGCGGTTAGAGAGTCAGCCCGCGGACCCGAAAGCCCTGGGTTTGGTTTCTGCTAAGGGCATGTACCTGCACTGTAGTTTGTCCCTGGCCCCGATTGGGGTCGTGTGGGTGGCAGCCACTCAATGTGTCTCTCTCACATCGAGGTTTCTCTCTCTCTTTCCCCCTCTCTCCCTCCCACTCTGTCTGAAGATAAATGCAAAAATGTCCTCGGTGAGGATTTTTTTTAAAATTAAGGAAAAAAGCTAGTGTTCAGCTGGAAGGGTTGACAAACTTTTCTCTAAAGGGCCAGGTAGTAAGTATTTTCAGCTTTTCTGGACTTACACTGTCAAACCACTCAAGTGGGCCCTTAGAGTGCCAAACAGCCATGAAGACTAAATAAAAAACAGGCATGGGTGTGTTCTAATAAAACTTTCTTTGCCGAAGCAGGAGACGGGATCGGGCTGTTGTTTGCTGACCCCTGGGGAATTTCCAGACCCCCTCATCTTTAATATTCCGGGATCCCTTGCTTGGATTTTAATATTAAGTTTAGAGAGGGGGGCCCTATTGCATCCAACTTCAATAACTGGTACTTGCTAAAGCAGAGGGATGGCCTTAGGGACGGCTTATAGCTGTCCGATGGGTAGAGGCACACACAGAAGGGGAGCCCCAAGGAGAGACCATTTCTGAGCTGCACACATTTGAAAATGGAATTTGATTCCAGTTTGAAGTTTAAGCAGTTAGTCAGGTAGAGATCAATTTTCCTCCTTAAGGGCCTACAGCTTCCAGATAAATAATTTAATGCTGTTGTCATTCAAAAAGTAGAACGATAGCTCCATGAACCGTATTTGTGAATGAATTTAAACACCTTTTAATGCCTCCCTTCTTCTGCCACACTGTGAAATGACACCAATGAGAAAATAGGTTATGCCAGCTCTTTGCACCCTCCTCGGTGTCCTCTCTAATGCAAAGAACAGATGAGGCTCATCCTAGGCAACTAACCCGCGGATAGGGTTTCCAAACAGACATCACTGACCTTTGTAGATAAATTTCTCCAGCCAGAGTTTGAGACCGACCAAGTGGCAATTGCATTTCCAGAGGTTGTTCTTGAGAAACAAGAACTTCACGCTGGGCATGGATTCTAGGAGCGCGCGGTCCAGCTGCTGAAGCCGGTTTTGCTGGACCGCAAGCACGGTTAGGTTCCTGCAGCACTCGCCCAGGGAGGCGGCAAGGTGGCCGATGTTGTTGGCGGACACATCGAGCTCCCGCAGCCGTGGGAGGGAACGGAACAGTCTGCTTTCCACGGAACGCAGGGAGTTCTGGGTTAGGTTTAAGACCTGCAAGTGCTGCAGTCCATGGAAAGCTCCGGGGGCCAGGGTTGAAAGGGAATTGTTGCCCAGGTTCAAGGTTGTGAGCTGTGGCACTGACCTAAATGCAGAAGCCGGGAGCTGGTGTATCTGGTTGTCTTGCAAATACAGTGTTCGTGTCTGAGGTGGCAGGTCGGGAGGGATCTCAGCCAGACCCCGCTGGCCGCAGTCCACAGAACCCGAGGCGGGGTGACACTGGCACTTCTCCGGGCAGCCCCACACCACCCGCAGCAGGAGAACCACGCTCGACAGCAGGAGCAGGTCACCTAGGACAGACAGAAAGCAGGGGACAGAACCAGTTCATAGGTGGTGCTGTCATCCCTTCCGCTTGAGAATCACAGGCAAGGCGATCTGAGCCAGCTAATACTTTCTCAACCTGAAAGACAGGTGCTACGGTCACTGCTGCTGGTAGACTTGGGCTGGACAGGTACATCCCCAGTGTCCATCACTAACTGCCACCCGCGCGCTAACAATGTCGGAAGCCTTGGGAAAGATGCGTTCTCAGCGGCTCAGAAATCAGAAGATGGAAGACTGGAGGATGTTGAATAGAAAGGTGGAGAAAATTCTTTCTGAGGCACATGCCCTTGGTAGGGAACAGCAAAGTCATCTGGACCGGAGTGTGGAAAAGTGACAGGGAGCTCAGACAGTCACATGTCTGAAAAGTGGGCTGGGGATCAGTGTGGACCATCAGGACTTCCTGTGGGGACGGAAACTCTCTATATCTGCTGTCCAGTGCGGTAGCCATGGCTATATCTGGCTACTAAGCTCTAAAATGTGGCCACTGTAGCCTAGGAACTGAATTTTTATTTGCATTCAATTTAAATGTAAATAGCCACATGGTGCCTGTGGGTAGCATACTGAACGGGGCAGGTTTCAAGCATTCCTACATAGCGATGTCTTCTTTGCAGGTGTAATGATTCATGAATGATGACTGTCCCCTTTTGTATTCGAGAATTCTGTACAAACACAGCAATGTATCAAGAATAATGTCATAAACACCCATGTTGCTATAATTCAATCCATTCATGGGTTGTCCTACTCTTTTTTATTCTGACGCAGAGAAACCATGCCTTACTGACACAGCTGAACTCCCTTTGATTAGCACCCAAGTCATGCTTTCTGACATAAACCCTCTACCCCCACCATACTGATGTATCCCACTAAGCTTTTTAAAAACAGACGATAATAATAGCAACAAGCAAATAACCACACAGCATGTGTTTTGAGCCAGGCACCATTTGAACTGCCATATATATATATATATATATATATACACACACACACACACACACACACACACACGCACACACATATATTAATTTAAACCTCATAACCTTGTAATTCTGCTTCCACTATTATCCTCATTTTGAAGGTGAGGAAACTCACAGAGAACAACTTCACGAATGGCTGCAGAGCACGTGCCCAAGGTCACACAGATGTGAGCAGTAGAGTCACGATTTGAACCCAAGCAATCTGCTTCCAGAGCCTGTTAGGGTTCTTACCTGCTGTGCCTTACTGCCTGTCAAATACGTTTACACACACCCACCACACCCACACCCACACACACCACGCTGTTTTTTATAGTGGTTTTTAAAAACCCACATAAGTATAATCATCAGCATTTTTTTTGGTACGTGCCCCTAATGGGAACCGAACCTGGGACTCTCTGGTCGGCAGGCCAATGCTCCAACTGCTGTGCCAAACTGGCCAGGGCTCATCAGCATATTTTATTCTGCATTTTACTCCATTCACTCAAAATGGATCTACCTGTATGGTGGTGTAGAGAGCTGTTGTGTTTCTTTTAACTGCTGTACAATATTCCATGGTGAGGCCAGGCCATGTTATTTAGCTACTCCCCTACTGATGAGCATTGGAGTTTCTGAAGTTTTTCTTCATTAGAAATGATGCTGCAAAGAGCATTCTTGCACAGAGCTCCTCTAGCAAGAACAGGAGCTTCTTTGCAGGATTCGGAGAGGGTGGGGAGTTTTCTTAGAAACTGCTAGATCTTACTCCGGAGTCGCTATATCACCCCCTTCTTTGTTCCTGAGACTTGAATTTCAAAATAGGGCAAACATCTGTCAAGGACATTTTGTTTAATTAGTAGAGGAATTCACAGGGCCACACAATAATATTGAAAGCTCAAGATAGTTATCTACTCATAAAAAATGATCTTGAAAGAGGTTTGTTTGTTTGTTTTGGGCCTTAACTAAGGAAAATAAAATGCGGCAGTGGAATGCACCAGCCTTGAGTTCCGTGCTGGTGTGAGCAGCGCTTTGGGGCGATAGGAGGGACCTTTGCCTGCCGCCGACGGAGGGTCTGCTCTTTGTGCTCAGGGGATGCAGGACATCGCAGCCCCCTCCCGCTTCCCAAATAGAAAACAGCAGGCTCCTTGATTTCCTTTCTATAATTTTGCAAATAATCTAAGTAACTCCTTTCAAAGCCAAACACCTCCCCACGAGAGGTGAGTGGACACCGCACCTTAGCTGTGGGTCCCGGCGTAATGGGCTGTAGGGAATCAAATCTTCAGGACTGCTTTCCACGGTCCACTCATCTACTCACGACAGGCCTGTTTCTGAGATCGCAGCCGGCGAGCTCCTTCTGTCCTACTGCACCCCCCCCGCGAGGGTGTGCTCGGGACTCCAGCTGGGAGCAAGGTGCTTTTTGTGCAATGGCCTGCGACATGCCAGCTGCGTGTCTGATCGCGGCTGGGCACACTTGTCCCCGTGCCCTGCCTCTGTCCCAACACGGCACAGCATAGGTTCTTCCGCAGAGACATTTTTTGATCTGTTTGGTCTTTAGAGGAAGGCAACTTGAAAATAGGGTTCCCACAGGCAGTTCTTGAAGGGATCCCATTCCTCTCTAAGGGGCCCGGGGGTTCACGACGACTCACCTTTCATGGCTGAGTCTCCACAGGCATCCGTGTTGACCCCGCAGCCCACCGTTAGCACTGGCAGGTCAGCGCGCCGAGGGCATGGCCAGCTCGCGGTCCAGCTTCGCATCCGCTGTCCGGAGCCCTGCCGAGCTTCCTCCAAGGCAGAGCACGGCGGTGGCTTTCGGGGGCCACTTATTCAAGCAGCCCTTCCGTCTCCATCTGGCCGGGGTTGTTTCCCACGAGAGGAGCTTTTGACTGCGCCCCTCTTCTTTCTGACAGTGGCGACCTCCCTGAGATCATCCCTGCCCGTCCCATTCAGATGACGAGCCACAGAACGGACGTTTGTCAAACCTCGGTGAACAGCTGTAGCGTTCAAACATGACCCCGATGGCTCAGGCTTTTTGATTATTTAATCTGCTTGAAGTCCGGGGCACCAAAATAAAACTGCCTTCTTAATCCGGTCGTGGTTTCTGAATTCTGTTGACTTAGTAACCACGCCGTGTCAACCCCGGCGGGCCGGGGGTCGCTCGCCGTGGCTCCCCGAGCTGGGGGGCTGGCAGAGGAGCCAGCAGAGTGTGTAATACGAGGACAAATTGGCCTGCTGGAGGCTAACACGGTTTCCACGGCGCACTTGTTTGGTCATCGGAGGCTTATTCAGCCAACATCCGTGGGGATTAGTTGTGTTGACATGCCCTGAAATTCATAGCCACGGCTGCCTTTCATGCCCATCGTAGTCTGTGCTCCCCGGTGCCACAAATACTTCTCAGCTGCTTCTTTGCTTGCCCCCACCTCCCCCTTCTGCCGCCTCCACCCCCACTGAACGGACCTTCTGGTTCACGTGACTTAGGAAATACTTCTCCATCTCTCATCATTTCCCTGATTTTTCATATATAAAACAATAGAGCCGCCCCCGTGAGCTCCAGGCCTCCAAGAACTGTGACTTTTGTCTCACCGGAGCTGGGGGAACCTCCCCCCAGGGCCGGAATGTTTCTCTGAAGGTGCAAATCCCCTGACATTTGCTGTGATGGGGATGCGCGCAGCTGCCCTCCAACAGGCTCAAACGCTCTGCGAGGCACCGTGACCACTCTAAAGGTAAAAACGTGCTTTTCTTGAGGCCGTGTAGCCTCCCTGGCCTTGGGCAGTGTGATAGGGCTGCTGAGTGTGGGATTTGCAATGCGATGAGTCTGGGTTTGAACTTGGCTCTGTGTCTCTGGGCAAGTGACTTGCGTGCTTTGAGCCTCGCCTCGTAGCCTCATCTATAACGGGTGTAAGAGTAGCCCTTGCTTCAGGAGATTGTTTCAGAGCTAAGTAGAGCAGTACATGATATAGCCTAGAGCATGTTCACAGATGCTCAATTACCCATGAGAGTGTCTTCCAGGACCTGCAGGCTGCTGGCTTTCCAAGGCCAACCTTGACTTGACAGGTGGAGGGAGGTCCTGACCAAAGTCCCGGAGCCCTGGACCCTCTGGCCCACTCTGATGGTACCGTGGAAAGAGGCCCCTTGTGAAGAAGGTTGAAAATGGATTGTGAATATTTTTAATGGCCTAGTCTTTGGGATTCTTCTTCTCCTTAGGCCAAGCCCCTTCCTGTTTCAGGGAACCCAATATACTCATCATGTCCCCTCCTGGAACATCTGCTTGACACAGCCACCACCTTTTGTCCTCCAGCACCGTTGGGCATGAGAGATACAATGGGGGAAAGTCAGGTGTGGGTGACAAAAAGCCTCTTAAATCTTGACAAGGGCTTGGTGGTTCCATTCTCCCTCCCTCCCTTCCAACCACCTGGTCTATTTTCAGGTGCAGAGAATTTAATAATAATCATTCCTTGATGATACACGACTATAGCCCATGTGTAGCCTTCCGTCATGACTTATCACAATATAACAAACACCTGTGAACCTAACGCGCTCGAAGAACTAGGAAGTCACCGATAACTCATATCCCCTGAGTGCCTCTGTCTTTCCCAGGGGTCAGCAAGCATTTTCTGTAAAGGGCCAGAGAGTAAGTATTTTAGACATTGAGGGCCTTATGGTCTTTGTCACAACTCCACTCTGATGTAGCAAAAAGCCAGCAATAGACAATCCGTAAGAGACGGGGTGCCTGTGTTTCAGTATAGCCATATTCACAAACACAGGTGGATGGCTGGGTCACCCCACAGGCCATAGTCTGTAAGCCCCGCTCTGGCCCCTGCGGTCGCGGCTCCGCCACCATCACCTGTCACCCACCCCAGCTACTGCCACCCAGCTGGACAAGTCCGCTGCCCTAGCTCCTCATCTACAGAACGAGGGGTCTGAGCAGGGTCATCTCTAGGCCCCTGGTGTGTGTAAAAGCTCATTGTTATGGTCAGAATGCCTGAGTGGGCTTGAAAGGCCCAGTGTTTACAGACTTTAGGGCGTTTGGACAAACACAGAATTCGAGTGTCCCTTTGGGTTATAGCAGAGCTGTTGAGCTGTGTTCTGTTTTGGTTTTGGTTTTATTTTTTTAAATCCTCACTTGAGGATATTTTTTTCCCATTTATCTTCAGATAGAGTGGGAGAGAGAGACAAAGAGAGAGAGAGATCAACTGGTTGCCTCTCACATGACTGCGACCAGGGCCGGGAATGAATAGCAACCGAGGTATGTGCCCTTGACGGGAATCAAACCCGCAACTCTGGTCTGAGGGCTGACGCTCTAACCAGTGAGATAACCAGTCAGGGCTTGAGCTGTGTTCTGCAGGGCAAAACAAAGAGCACATCTTGAGGACTCTGGGGCCTGAAAATGATGAACACATTGAGGGCACAGCCGGTGTAGGAGGCGGACACCTGCAGTTCAGGCAGGCTGGTGGCTAAATGAGGAGACACACTTTCATGCTGCTTAAACCCTAAAGCTGTGTTGTCTTAGACAAACCACAGAATCTCTCTGAGCCTTGGCTTCCTCTTCTGTAGCATGCAGGTAATTCTATCTCATAGGATCCGGGAAGGAGCAAGCGATATATGTCAAGTGCACAGCTTAGGTCTGGTAGAGACCCATAAAGCAAGTGATCAGAGGTGGCCTTTCCTAGTAGCAGTGTATATTCTTGGACCTCAGAGAGTCTGGACTGGCTGCTCCCACCTGAAATGCGAACACGCTGGGAACACTCAGGAAACCCCACAGTGATGGGCCCCTGGGAGCAGTACTTACTGCTCCAAGTGACTCTCTGGTTCCCTTCCGCTCCCGCTGACTCTGACTGTGGATGTGAAAACGGCAGTGCGCACTTGGACGCGAGGGACTTTGCATGCCGAGGCTGAGTGATTGATTCCATCTGACCTCAGCCCAGAGAACAAAGGCAGGGTGTGTGCTGTGCATGCTCAGGCCTGCAGCATCCTCCACCCTCCCGCCCTCCTGAGCCAGGTCCCAGGAGTGGCAAGTCTGCGCTACACGCAGAAGGGTAACCAAGGAGAGACGCCAAATGTCAGGTCAGGCCGAGCCACTCCCCAGAGGGGAGGACTCCAGTGAGGTGCTCCTGGTACCGAGACCCAGTCCAGAACCTCGATTCCCACGGAGAATCCCCCGGAGACTGGTTACCATACACTGAGAGCACAGCCACTTCCTGGCTTCGATGTCTCCTACATATACGTACAATACACACACATGCATTTTCTGCACACATTTCCCATATTAAGTCTGAATGTTTCCGAATATAAATTGGTCTATTGAACATTTCACTTCCTTCCAAACAAAATCAACAGTTATTAACTCTTAAAATCCATGATGTCTGGAAATTCAGCAAATAGCTTTACCTCCCAGGTAATGTTATACAGCTATTTAAAAAGAATACATTAGAGTTAAATATACTCACCTGGGTGGATACTCAATCCATTGTGAGGTTAAGTAAAGCAATTTGAATGGGAATGCATATTGTATAATCCCATTTATGTTCCCAAAGAAAGTCGGGGTGGAGGGATTTACCCTACAAAACGTGCATTGCTTTGTCTGACGATGGAATACCCTGATTACCCAGGGGGCAGGGGTAATTTAGAAGAAGCAAAGAAAATGAAAATGTTCTGTTTCTACCTCTGCATATTCAATTTGCTACAAAAAAAAAAATGTATTGCATCTATTATTTTAAAAACACAAAGGAGAAAAACTGACTTTTTTAAGTAGCAAGTAAAGGTGTGTTCTGCTCACTAGAATATTTGAGATCACTTACCTTCAGTGACTGGCTGAGTCGTGTGCGGAAATGCAGCATCGCTAGGTGCGGTGACCTGTGCTTTCTCTGCCCACTGCTCTCTGCAGGTGAGCAAACCACACGGTGCATGTGAGCGTTTCTTCCAGTTTTATTGTCCGCTTTGGTGGAATCGCGGCAAAGCGCTTTCCCACTCCCGACAGCGGCCCCACCCAAAGCAGGTGCTCTGATGATCTGAGGCCAGGGAGCAGCCAAGCGAGTGACCGCTGCAGCCCAGGGGAGCAGGAAGGAGGCCCTTGTCACCACAGATCCATGCAGAAATTTCCTTTGGTTGTGGAGGAAAGATGGTCTTTGAAAAATAGTGCCCGAGGACTTGTGTGGATGACCAAATGGCACCCAGGTATAAAATTTATAAAGAGCTATGTATAAGGCCTCAGTATTATTCCCTTCCCTTCCCCCCTCCCTCCCCTCCCCCCTCCCCCCTCCCTCCCCTCCCCTCGCCTCCCCTCCCCTCCCTTCCCTTCCCTCCCTTCCCTTCCTTCCTTCTTTCTCTAGTCTTACAAAACAAAAGCAAGAGAACTAGGTATTTATTTTAAAATGTACATCATATCATTTATTTAGTGCTTATAGTGAGCCAATATTGCAAAGGATTTGTTTTAAAGTAATGTAACTGCTGTAACAAACCCCAGATATCAGTGGCTTAATAGCCTATTTATTGTCCTGAGCTCAGTGCAGTTCAGACCGACAAGGGCCAACCTCCATGCAGGCATTCGTGGGCCCAGACTACTTCCATCTTGTCATGTGTCCTCCTCTTAGTTCTCAGAGACCTCTCCACCCGCTGGGGATCGGGGAAGAAGATGGGATCAGGCAGGAGCCAGACCTGGAAATTATACTGATCACCTCTGCTTATATTTCATTGGCCGGAATAAAACCACATGGCCATATCGAAGAGCAAGGGAGTCTGGAAAATGTAGTCTAGCTGCATGTTTTGGACGAAGGGGAGTCAAAGGTGTTGCAAAACATTCACAGTCTCTGCCTCCACATTTGATTAGTGTCACCTCACTTACAGGTGCCTGAAACGCACTAGTCTCTACGCTTACGATGGTTCCCCAATGTCTTCCCATTGCAAACACGTGGATTGTGAGGATCCATGTTA